CCGTCAACCATCCGAATTCATCCCGAGGCCTCCGGAACCTCAACCAAACGTACCAACCAATCCTAAAACATAATTCAAACTTGTTCCAACCTTCGGAACGCTCAAAACAATATCAAAACACCTATTTTTCATCGGATTCAAGCCTAAGAATTCCAAAAACTCTAAAAATACGCTTTCGATCAAAAAGTCTATCAAACCTCGTCCAAATGACCTGAAATTTTGCACACACATCACATTCAACACTACAGAGCTATGCCAACTTCCGAAATTCCATTCCGACCCTCGGATCAAAATCTCACTATCGGACCGGAAACTCCAAAAATTAAACTTTCGGCATTTCAAGCCTAAATTAGCTACGGACCTCCAAAACACAATCCGATCACGCTCCTAACCTTGAAACAACCCAACGGAGCTAACAGAACCATCAAATTTCCATTCCGAGGCCGTCTTCACATTGTTCTGACTATGGCCAACTTTCCAACACTTAAGCTCTCATTTAGGGACTAAGTGTCCCAAAACTCTCCGAAACTCAAAACCGAACATCCCGACAAATCAAAATAGCAGAAATAAACTCGTGGAAAGTAGTTAATAGGGGATCGGGCGTTAATTCTTAAGACGATCGGCGGGGTCGTCACAAGGTGGTGTTTGAATGTCAAGCCTGACAGATTGCCATACTTGAGCGGGTGGTACTTTCCGGAGTGTTATAGCGCCTGACCGATCTGCTCTTAGTTGTTCGATAAGAAAAATGGGGTGGTGAGACAAAAATAGTTAGTGATGTGGAGTACTCCATCATACAACCTTGCTTGGCTAACCTATCTGCTACCCCATTTTACTCTCTATACACATCAAAGAGATGCAGATATTGGAGCTGGTAGAGCAGATGCCTGCAAACATAGATAATATTAGTGTAGATGAGATTTTCATTTCTTAAAACTGTGATTACCTCTGAGGCGTCAATGTTTACTTCAAGTGGAACCAAATTAAACTTAATTGCTAACTGTAATCCATGGAAAAGTGCCTGTAATTCTGCTTCCATGCTATTTTTTTGTAGTGATATTACCAACAAACCCCGTAATCCAAGTTCCCAGGGCATCCCTAATGAGCCCCCCGTTGATGAGTTTGAGTGATCCTTCCGCACAACATTTTTGATTTCTTTTAAGGAATTTTTACATTCCCATGCCATATATGAAACTATATTACCCTCAATGTTTAAGGTTTGATATAATTATATTTAGTATATCTAATTACCAATTATATACCATTAGTAGTTTTTAAGGGTATTAATTATACTCATAATTTAATGGTACAATATATTCATTCTAATACCACTCCCCCCACGTTTCTCTCTCCAATTCCCACACCTTCACCCATGTTTCCCTCCCACACCCACGATTTCTGTATCAAAATCCTATTATTTCTTCCATAGCCAAGGCTTTGAATTCGAATTTGGGTTTTCAAAAGACATTGTTTGTTTGGATTGGATGTTGTTGCAAAGAATTGAGAATTCTCTACTACGTCTCTCTCTATCTCGCAAACCCAAATTTCAGTAATATAAGAGGAAAGGAAAAGAGAGCAGCAATTCCACCATTGACAGCCATTAAAAATCTTTGAAGCTTTGAATTCTAATTTGGGTTTTCAAAAATCATTATTTATTTGGATTGAGTGTTGTTGTAAATAATTGGGAATATGGTTTGGAGTTTATATCTCAATTTTGAGGGGTTTTGGTGAAGATTAGACTTGGTTTTGGCTGAATATCAGATTGAAACTCGAAGAAGAAGAAGATAAATTGCAGACTGTTGTTTATTTATTTTTGAGCTTTGTGTTTTTGTGTTAAAAGTTTTGATGAGAGCTTGTTATTCCACTTCGTCTGTTTGGAGCTAACTTGTGCAGATGAGAAGATGTTTTATAAGTTATATATATTGCTATACCTTTAAATTTAAGAAAGTATGGTTGTATTGTATTTAAAGAGGCATGAATTTGTAGAATAGGTTGAATGTGAGGAATGAGTCAAATAAGACTCACAATGGCTTGTTTTCTACATTTAATCTACAACAAAACTACATATCATTTGAAAAATTAATATGAAAATATATAATTTCAATGTTTCTACAAATTATCTACAAAATTTCTTAGGAAGATCTATCCCCTCAGCATGTTTTTTTGGATTCCATATTTAGCATAGCAGTTTCGTAAAGAGTATTAAGAGCATATAGGAGAATCACAGAATCGTAGCATAATTGGGATTTTCGACATAATTGCGTTTTTTGCAGAAAATTTGTAGAAGTTTTAGTCGTTTTTGATTTGTGAAAACAGAAAACAAAGCATCTACAATCAAAATACAAATAATCTGCAATTTATCGACAAAATATCTACAAACTGGGTACATTGAATTTTAATATCCCAATTCTCATTCAATTGTAGCATAATTGAGATTTTCGACATTATTGCGTTTTTTGCAGAAGATTTGTAGAAGTTTTACTCGTTTTTGATTTGTGAAAACAGAAAACAAAGCATCTACAATCAGAATACAAATAATCTACAATTTATCTACAAAATATCTATAAACTGGGTACATATTTGGACTCGGCATGCTCCCCCTGAAATGTATGTTTCACATTTTTGATACATATTTTTGTCCAAAACAGTACTAAATCAGCCACTTAAATATAATTTTTATACACTGTTGTTCAACTTTCATAGAATAGGTAAATGAATAAAAAAATAAATAAATAAACAACAATCTACAAATTTTCTACAATTTATGCAATATACTTCTTCTTCAATCTGAAATTCAGTCAAAACCAAGTCTAATCTTCACCAAAACCCCTCAAAATTGAGATATAAACTCCAAATCATATTCCCAATTATTTTCAACAACACCCAATCCAAACAAATAATGATTTTTGAAAACCCAATTTTGAATTCAAAATTTTCAAGCTTTTTAATGGCTGTCAATGGTGGAATTGCTGCTCTCTTTTCCTTTGCTTTGTATTACTGAAATTTGGGATTGAGAGATAGAGAGAGATGTAGAGAGAATTCTGGAAACAGAGTGTATCGCAAAAACAGAGTATGGAAAATCTTGATCTGCGTTGTGAAGGATCAGAGTGAAGCCAACGATAATTATGCATGTGCGTGATCTGCGTTGTGGAAGATCTTGAAGAATATTTAATTTTCCAATTTTAGCGCGCCTAAATAAGGAATCCTACAGCTACAATGATTCCTTATTTAATGCATTGTCTATATTTTGTAGGAATACTATTAACATGAAGGGTAATATGCAAACTATGAACATATTTGGTAATATAGTTTCCTATATAGTATAAGAACGAAAATTTCCACGTAAGATAATTCGAGAAAAATTAATTATTCAATATATAAGCTATTTATAATACTTTTGACACCTAAGTAACAGCTAATTCCAATTCATACTCTTCTCCGTTTGCCGCTAATTAGCCCCACCATTTTCAATAGTGTTAACTTTTTTCTGTCCCTCCTTTTATATTTCTTTTTTTTTTTTAAAATGAAGAGAAAAGTACGAGGCCGACCAAATTCTATAGTCTAGTTTTTGTTTGACCGATAAGTATGAAAAGACTCAAAATATTAATTCATTAACATTCAGATTTTCTTTCTATTGTTTTTATTTAGAGTAAACAAAGTGAGGAAAGGAAATACAAAATGAGGAAAAAACGAGAAAAATTCCACTCTTTGCTCACTATAGAGAGAACGGCAAAATAATTTTCCCTTTCATATGTTGGAAGAAAAACTCCAATCTCCCCCCCCCCCC